GGGCAATGCAAATTGGGGGTGTTTGACTCTAAATGAGGCCTTCGCTTGCATTTGAAGCGGATGTTGGCAATGCAAATGTTATGAAATTCCATTAGACAACAAAACATGGAAGAAAACCAAGCAAATTTATTGCATATTTTCGAAATAAGCAAATGGCCAGAGGATTGAGAGGAGATATGCCAAAGCGACACATTTCCAAGATGTTGAGCTGCTGAGATGAGAACCGAAAAACTGGAAACTGCAAACTGCGAGTTGGGAACATGCGGCTCACATATGTGGACAGCGCAGCGGTCGAGACGAATGCATTAAGTTGAAATTTCATTCATAAAGACTTTTATTTTATTGCGCCAGCCTCAAAGAGGCGACCACAAGGCGCACAGAAGGCGTGCAGGCCAAACAAAAACAACACCAAAAAGAAAGAAGACGAGCAAGAGAGAACGAGAGAGAGAGAGAGACGTATGGACAGCAGGCAAACAAAGATTTATTGGCATTAAATATGGACAACTCAGGCCTTTGGAATAACCAAGCGAAATACCGAAACAGACGAATGTCAAACAGCACATAAAATTAAAAATGCTAAAGCGTAAATAAATATGTATGAAGATGCTGTGGATATGGCAGGAATTTTTGGAAGAAATTTCTGAACTATAAAAGATTTTAGTTTCTTTTTTTACAATTTCAACAATAGTGTGACTTTATGGGGCAATAATACGATGGAAGATGAGGGAAGAGATATGAGGTTGAAAGCTCAAAATACATAAATAAATAAAAACTACATAAAATAATAATAAATAAATAAAGTAAATTATAATAATATATATGTCATATACTCTTATTTATCGAATTGAAAAATATTTTTGTGTATTTTTAATACCCAACTTATTATTTAATTTTTCACATCATTTTTTTTTCCTTTTCATAAGATTTTAGAGATTTAAAAACATGAATTGTTTTCTATTTTTGGCACAGTTTTGTTGTCTTTGTTAATTAAATTTTTATACATTAAAGAAAAAAAAATTGTTTAAAATTTTTTTTATTTATAAATACTTTTTCTATTTTTCTGTATCGTAAATATGTAAGTAATTCTTTTTTAATATTTAAGAGGATAGATATGCATACATTTCTCTTTGATCAAGCTAAAATATGATTCCAATGTATGCATATAAAAGTATAATCAAAAATAAATATTGAATTTGTGGGCTAAAATAAATATTTATATCATAATTCGATAACGTTGATATACAATTTTATACCTTAATATTATATGTGATTATTTAACTATACCTTATAACTTTTGATATGCTTTTGTACATTCTCAGCAATAACAGAAATTGGCTTTTAAAGATTTTGCTCACACGAATTGTGAACGTAATGCAAATTTCTGCGTGACGCATCTTGAAAATTCTTCTGCTAGGTCGCACACCAAATTAAATTATACTTTATAGATATAGATATTGTTATTGTTGTTGTTGTTGTCTTTGCAAATGTAAACAATAAGGAAAATTACATTCGCTATAAAAACAATTCCAGCATAACGAATGCCCGAGACGTGCCGCAGCTAAACTTTGGGTGAGGGTTCAAACAAATTGCATTTGCGGCTTGACTTGTCGCTTGAGTGGAAAATTGCGTATCACATAACTGAATTTGATATAGACAATTAGAGAAGGAAAGAGATGGAGATAGACAGAAGATGGCGAATGGCATAAAAAATTAACTGCATATTATTATGCGGCATGAATGATAATTATTATGGCTGCGAGGCTGCGGCACCCAGAAGGAAATCGAGCATCGTCCATAGACCTGATCTCCCTGGCAGTCCAAGCATATTTTGCATACAACAAAAAGGTTCGTTTCGTTATTGTTTATTTACTTTTTGCTTTCAATTTGACCGCAGCGGCAGAGCCAGAGCCAGCGGCAAAGCCAATCAATAGTTATGACCCAATATTTCACGTGTTTCTTTCACATTTTTTCTTTCATTCTTTTTATATAATTTTTTTTTCTGTTGTCGTTTCTTTCGCGCCGCAGTTGAATGAATTTTTTTTTTTTTTTTTTCGCTGCAACGTCCAGTTCCGACCGCAATAAGTCAAATACGAGGCCGGCGAGTTTTATTATGTCGAACTCCAACCGCAGCGCAGAGACCTCTTCGAAAGAACTTGGAGCATGGCAATGCAGCAGATAAGTCAATTATATTGACTTGGCCAAGAATAAGCAAAGCTTTGAGGTGGCAAGAAGTCTTAGCCTGAGCTATTGTTGTTGCTGCTGTTGTTGTTGTTGCTTTTGCTGTTGACTGTCTTAAAGGTTCCCACACCGTTGAAAGCCCTTAGCGGTTAGCTGGATGTGGACCAAGGCGATAACATCAACACAGCTGCCAATGGCTGTCAATGGTATGAAACGGAGCACAGTGGAGCCAAAGTTGCTGCCGAGGGCGTCAAACAGGTTTTGTGATGCATATAAATAGTAGTTATTACGGGTCTTTGATAGATTGCAAACATTTATAGCGTATACTTATATAGGAATTGACGGCATGAGCTCCTAATATTATTAAATAAGTCTCAAATGTTGCATATATTTAAAAGTTCTTTGTTATGAAGATATCAAACAATATTAGAACTGTCAAACTTTGACTTGAGATATGAAATATGTAAACAATGCTGCTTTAATTTAAATTTTTTTTTTCTCTATCTCTCTCTCTTTTTCTCTCATTCATTCTGGAGTTGCTAAAGCTTGTACTTCATTGACCTTACTAACAATAAATATTATTATGCATTAAATGGAAATATTGCTTTAATTAAGAATTAATTTATGCAGTGCCTTTTCCACTCACTTGTTTTTTTGCTTTAAATTATATTTCTCCTCGAAATCTATTTAGATAAAATTCATGTGAAAAGTAAAACATAAAAACTTAAATTATATTTGGCTAGTAATTAATTTTATGTTTTTGCCAATTAATAATTATTGATGCTGTTTTTCTCATTTATAATATTTGGCTAATAATTATATTTTATTTATTTTCATTGTTTTTGCTAATTATTAAATTGTATTATACTCATTATTATTGAATATGAATTAAAATTAAATTATTATTCAATATTTATTAATTATTAATCTCAATAATACCTGCTATTTATAGAAAATAAATAATTAAATTATAATTACAATATTTTTAACTAATTTATTAAGATTGATTGCTTAAAGAAATAATTGTGTAAATATTTTGTTTATTTATTAATATTACTAGATTTCTTAAACTATCTTTAATACTTTTGAATATATTTAATGATTTTCAGTCTTTGACAGTCATTCCCTTGTAGATTTCTTGTACCAATTATTTCAAATTAATGAACTTTCCATAGCTATCAATCCTGTACCACTGTGCATAGTGCTCTGCCACACTTTGCTCATGCTCCGCCGTCTGCTGGCCAGACGCGGCTTTATTATTTTCTGACTGGCACGTAGATTTATGTATATATTAATTTTATTTCTTTATTTTTTTATTTCGTAACCTAAAGCATCTTCGTCTTGTCTTTCGCTTTTTTCACTTTTTCTTAGTTTTCTTTAGTTTGCTGTTGCTTCAAAGTGTAGACGCAATTTACTGATTACATTATTGCTGGCAAATTGCTAGATTAAAGTTGTTGTTGTTGTTGCTGCTGTTATTATTGACTTTTGAATTATAGTTATTAAATTTTGTTGTATACGATTTTTCAATCAAACAGTTTTTTTTTTTTTTTTTTTTTTTTGACATACAATTTGAAAATAATAGCTGATAATTTGTAAATAATTTATTATTTTTACAAACAGAAAACGTTTAAATGCAATTGATTTCTACTAATTCGCTAGCCGCGCAGCCAACTCTCTCTTTTCTGCCCAGTCTCACCCAATTTCTCACCCTCTCTCTCTCTCTCTCTCTCTCTGTCTCTTTCAAACCACACAAATGTAGCGACAAAAGCAAACAAGAAAGCAAATAACAGAAAACCGGCAAGAAAAGCTAAGCTAAAGCAAAAATGTCAAAGAACAAGTGCAGCACATGGCAGCAACGACATAGAGAGAGAATCTGCAAAGCCAACGCTACGCTACGCTCTCTCTCTTTCGCTTTCGCTTCTCTGCGCAAAAAGCACCCCAACAAAAAAAAAGCACACACACACACACCCACCCACACATCTATAGCACGTAGTAGTCGTAGAAATTTTGCAGACAGTGCTGCCAATTCCTGTGCATAGTACGCATACTACAAGCGGAGTATTTCCCCTGGCTGATAAGCGCGGCAGCCGGGTCCGTCCAGTGCCAGCAGGAGGAGCGAGGGGAGCAGGGGGCGTGGAAGGACTGGGCGGCCGCACATAATTGTAGTGGGGCGGCATCGATCGATTTTTCATGCCTCCTGCCGAAAAGGGGAGCAGACCAAAAATTGCTGCATACGCACTGGAGCCAAAGAGAAGGAGAGCTAGAGAGAGAGAGAGAGAAAAAGAGCAGCGAGCTCCAAAGCGCTCTCTGTGTATGTGTGTGTGTGTGACGTGTGTGTGTATATGTCTAAGGTGTGTTAACCTCAACTGTGCGCACAGACACACACACAGACACACACACACACACACACACACACACACACATAATAAAACAGCGCATTAAAAGTTGGTAGAATTTTTTTCTAAGTTTTTTACACACTTCCTACAGGTAAAATAAATATTTAATATTTTTTTTAAATTCAATAAAGCAAAAATAATTAAAACTTAACTGTATTTCAGTCTAATTTCATTTGAATTTATTTTAAAATTTACAAAATAAATTTACAGTTGAAATTTTGTCTCCAGCGCATGGCGCGCTTTACGAAATTTCTATAAATTTCTCGATTTTATAAAATTAAATATTTTTTATTTTAAAAATGCGTTTGTTTTCATTGCTTACGTTTTGTTTTGAGTCCGTAGTTTTTGCCGAAATGCCAAACAACAGCTACTAATCCAAAAATTATTGATTTTCTTTGCTTTCTTTGCTATTTGATTTTAGCTGCTTTTCAGTGTGCGGCGAAGTTTTTCCGTTCGCTTTGTTTAGTTTTGCAATCACTGCTAAACACAAATGGCTGGCACCATTGCTGCCTCTTTTATTATGCACAATATACGACACAAATTTGTATATGCATATACACACACTCGCGCATATATATATTTATGTATATATATGATAATTTCTATTTATGATTTTGCCAACGGTGTTTTGGTATTACGATTTCCTGCAGTTGGGGAATGGATTTACTTTTGTGATAGGAATTATTTTGGCATTTTGTTTAACAATTTTTCACTGTGCCCATTTTCACGCACGCACACGCACACACATGCACACACTCGCGCGGAACGCGACGCGACGTACACACTCTCACACACGTACACGCGTATCAAAGTTTTGCCTATGTACTATGTGGGGCGGCGACAATAAAGGACCGGGTCGGTGTGTGTCTGAATATCCCTTGCATTCAGTCGGTGCGCGCTAATGCTCAGCTCTAAGAGCCAAAACGTTCAACAAACAATATATATATATACATATATATGTATGGATTTATATACATATATATATATTTCTTGACTATCCGCAACCGTTGTCCTGTCACGAGCAACTCAATCGACACAATGAGCGGCGAGCAGTCTGGAAAAGTCCTCAGAGCCGATGAAAATGTGAAAAGCACGGCCTAGGCTCGACCGAAAATTTCCCACCACCAAAAACTCGACATATTGTGTGTGGCTCTCTGTGCAGCGAGAACGTATTGGAATACTGAGAGAGAAACAGAAAAAGAGAGAGGGCGAGCGAGAGACTAGACTCTCTGTGTGCTACACACAGAGAGAGAGAGAGAGCTAGACATGCATAGAGAGTCAGTGAGAGAGACGACGCAAGTGAGAGTGAGTGAGAGCGAGGCTCATCATCTGTTTGGACATCCTCACATCCTGCTGTTATTCACAGTTAGGTCTGATGCCAACCGCAGATGAAACTTCCTGACTTCCTACATTTCGTTTATACCACTTAGACTACTCCCAGCTTTGGCCTATAGAAAATATTTTGGTCTTCTTCTTGTTGCTGTCGTTTATCATTATTTGTGTAATATCCTGTATTTTCATGAGTTTCCGCTAGGTTCTCACTTCAAATGCAATTTATATTTTCTTACTTTTTAGTTACTTGCGTCAAGCTAGTGTTGGGAAGCTGTTTTTCATAGCTTTGAATGGGACTCAGCTGGAATTTTGTACGCTCAGCAATTAGTAAAGAAATATAGCTTAGGGTGTCGAGGTCTTAAAGGTAAACAAAGTTTTGTCAAGTGAATGAAGTATTGAAAAAAAAAATAGCAATATAAAATGTATAATATATCAGAATATTCAATATCGGAAAATATTTTAATATATCTTCAATATATTGTCATTTAAATATTAAAATATTTCTATAATTGTGTAAATTAAACCCAAGCTAAAAACTATAAAAAAAAAAAAAAAAAAAAAAAAAAAAAAAACATTTTTTTGTAAAGAAGGTATAATTAAGTGATATATTAATTTAAAAAAAAAATAATAATTAATTAAATTAATACAACAAAAATAATGAAATAATGTTAAAAAAATAAAAAAATACATGTATCTAAAAAATTTAAAAATAAATATATATACATATATAGAAAAAATATGAGGTCAGGCTTTATTTCTTTTCTAATCTAAAATTTCCCTACTACCATAAAAATATATTTCTAAGCCATAGAATTTTAATTTTTACTCAGGTCTTTCCATTATGCCATAATTCTACTTGCCATAAATTGAGGCATGCCATAAGCCCTCTAAACTTAATCAGCAATTCCTTCAGCCAACGAAACTATAATCCTTTATAACGTTCTCATAAAACTCTTTTGCTCTGTACCCAACTTTCGTCAACTTAACTGTAATTCATCTATAAGTATCCTATATATATATATATAGCTCACTAACTAGCATATCTAACTGTTTCACACAGAGAGTAAACCACACCCCGGTCCGGTTAGAAAGCATCTGTCAAAAGCGCAGTCGAAGCTCTGCTCGTAAATACTGATTTGCATGAATGCAAAAACATAAAATGAAATTTGCATTTGACTGCACACACACACACCGAGGAGGAGCTGCAGCGCCAGGCAAAGCGGAGCTAAAAATTATAATTCGCCACAATATTATATGAAGCATATACATCTACAGTGCAGTGGAGTGCCATGTGCAGTTATTCAAAGAGTTCGGGCGAGGAGCGCTGGCGGGG